TTTTGTTCTTAAACAAGAACACCGCCCAGTCCAACCGGACTTGCATCAGCAATGCCTCCTGTTTTGGCATCCTTGTCATAGTAAGCTAATGTTTCAGCACTTGTTAGTGTTTCCTTCAGAGCTTTGAATTCCTCTTGTTGCTTTTCACCCCATTTGAATCTTACACCTTCTCGTCTCAGCTGTTGAAGTGATTCTGCAACTGTGGACAGATTTGGAATGAATTTTGCACTGAAATTCACAAGTCCCATAAAACTTCTTACTTCAGCTACAGACTCGGGTTCTCTGGTATTGAATACTGCTTCAACTTTGGATTCTGTTGGTCCGACACCACGTGTGGACAATAAGTATCCCATGAATTGTAACCGGGGAATCTTGAACTTGCATTTCTCACGATTCAGGGTCGAACCTCTTTGTTTCAATCATTCTAACAGCTTCTCAAACCTCTCATCATGTTGCTGATCATCTTTAGCATAAAGAATGATATCATCAGATATGTTACGCACTCCTTGGCATCCATATAGGGCTTCCTGGATAGCATGCTGATAGATTTCAGGGGCAGAGGCTATGCTAAATATCAATCTCTTGTACTGATAAAGTCCAGCATGTTTTAAAAATGTTGAGGTCACGTGATTCTTCACTCAATTCCATTTGATGATAGCCCATTTATGGTCCAACTTAGAGAACACACTGCTTTGTGTCAGTCCTGGAGGACCTCATCAACAATGGGAATCGGATGTCGTTCTCTCACAATAGCTTCATTTGCTTTGGGCATATCGATGCACAGTCGAATCTCACCAGAAGGTTTGTGAACTACTACAATTGGGCTGACCCAAGGTGTCGGTCCTTTTATCTTCTCAATAATGTCCAGCTGCTCTAACTCATGCAACTTTCTCTCTACTCGCCTGGGATGCTGAGAAACTGGGTTTGACTTCTTTATTCACATGGATTTTAACTTGATAGTCGGTCAGCTTGCCTACTCATTCAAAACATGCTTTGTATTTATCAACAAGGTCTGGTGTACTTACAGCATTAACTTGTGGTCCCAGTCTTAGTACATCCAATTCCATGGCTGTCTTCCTGCCTATTATTGGCCTGCCTTCATTGCAGATGACAATAAATTCAGCCGTGGTATCTTTTCCAGATAGGTTTACTGATGCCTCGATAGCGAACTTTCCCAGCGTGTCAAGTGGTTCTGAAGTTCCATGAGGATACAATTTCTGATTTGTCTTTTCTCACTTGCACTGTACACCTTTTTGCTTCAATTCTCCCCATGTCTTCTAATCAATTATATTGCATGATGGTCCTGAGTCGATGAGAACTCCGCTAAGAATGAAGCCTCCAACTTGTAAATCGACTACCTCTGATCTACTCCTGTCCCATGATTTACCGAATCCTACAGTAAAAGCATCTTCATCATCTTCAACATCTTCCACAGAGTTAACTTTTCCTTGTCCACCTTGCTTCCTTTTGTTCTTTTCCTTTCGCTCTTGTTTATTCTTTGTTCTGCAGACTAGGGCAAAATGTCCTGTCATATGACAGTTTGTACAGGTTTTAGATCTTACCGGACAATGGTTGTCACGTGCAAAATGTCCACTTTGTCCACATCGGTAACAATTCCGACTCTTCTGATCTCTTCTCCCATTTCTTTCGGGCTTGTTATCGTCTTTGATCGCATTAACAGACGCTCCCGCATCTCTTGCAATCTGTTTGGCTTGGGTCTGAGATAGCTCCAGCGATCGACCAATCTTCTGCGTTTCTGCCAATGTTAGCTCGTGTCCCTTTTCCAGAAGTTTTCGCCAAGTTCTGTGGACTTGCATTTATCAATAATTTGGTTATGTATTTGCTCATTCTTCGTAGCACCAAATTCACAATTCGCAGCTTGATTACTGTGCCTTACAACAAATTGATCAACTGTTTCATGCTCTTCTTGCTTCATTTGGCGAAAAATGTGTCTTTCGTACGGTATATTCACTTGTGGTGTAAAGTATGCTTCGAGTGTTCGAAGTACAGACTCTTATAAGTCATCGTCTTCTCCCTCAGGTATACGTGGATCCGTTCCTGTTTCAAAGATTTCTTGGACTTCCGATCCTGCACAATGTAAAAGTAATGCCTTTTTCCGAGCGGCTGCTGTGATCCCAGGACCGTCTACGTAAAACTGAAATGACTTTCGCCATCGCCCCCATCTTGGCCTTGCACTCGTGCTAACTCCTCTACAATATCAAACAGCCTAATTCCGCGAATTTCATATTATTTGTCGCCATAACTGTCCCTCAAAAAGACGTGTCCTCGTATCACTTTATCCTGGTCGCCAATTGCAGTGTTTCACGGTCTATGAAACATTCGGATTCAAACAAATTACGTGCACACAAATCAGATACAACTCGACCCTTGACCTCGTGCTTTAATAATTCCCTTAATTCCCTTCGGCTGTACACGATTACATCACAGATACTATAAGGAGGTTTACTAATTTTACAAAATCTAAAATGAATTGGAAAAAAAYATGTTTATTATAATTATGAAAACAAAAAGCAAAGATGCAAGGGTTGAACTTCTTTATTTACCGAGACATCAAAAATGAAAAATCCCAAATTAATTACATATATTAGAATATTCACGTTTATCCCCAAGAGGAAGATCATCTCTTGTAAATGAAACTTTTGTATTTCTTTGCATATCATCAACGAAATGTAATTTTGAATTATCTAATGACGCCAAGAAAGCCGTTAATGGAACAAAAAAAAAAAAAAAAAAATTAGAATTATGCTACCGGAAACAGTTTTTTCTCTAAACCATCCAATACATCATTGATTTACGAGGCGAAAGAAGGGGGAAGTTGTTTGCTTTCCCTTACGGCCACCACACTTGTTTTCCTTGTAGAGTCTCCAGGCTGAGCCCCGTAAAGTTCTGTCCGACATTTTAGCGTGTAACTTGACAGCAGAGAATCACTGGCCTAGAGATAACACTGGGAAGGTTAATTGATCAATGTTTTACAACATTTGAAGTTATCGGCCTCATTTATTCATTGGTTGTTTTGCTTTTAAAATTTGGCTGACGTGACAGAGAAAGAAACCATAATATTAATGAACTCCCGACTTCTTAGGGGTGAATTTTCCAGTCATCAAGAACATATATGCATGTTCTTTTTCTCCTATTGCCGGCTAAGGAAAACTGACGTCGATCAGGTGATTGGAGTCAAGTACCTTGATTTACTTCAATCGGTGAGTTTATTCAGAGATGATATACTCAGTTTCATTTTCCTTGCCTGAGTTGCGTGACAGCGTAACCGGCCTTTTCTGTGGAGAAGCGGTGACCTCCGCATGTGAGGAATTTTTATACTCTTCATTTTTGTTTTTGTTTTTGTTTTTTGTTTTTTTTTTTACTGAGGATCTGAAATTGGATTTCTGAGCTAGGATCAAGAGGATTCCTGACGTGGTCAGGAGTGGAAATAAGGGAAATAAAATTACAGAAGAGCTGCGGGACCCCCCTCTCTACGTCCCCCTCTCTTTCATGCATTTTGGTTATGTATAGTTTCAAAAATATGCCTTTTTCTACGCGCTACTAGGGTTTAACTTTATTTCATATCATTTAATTTTTTCTTTGGGAGCATTTGCTGTTTCGAAACTTGCGGTTCGTTAAACTGTTTGACGGCTGTAAAACGAGCAAGTTAACTAGTTAGACATATATGACATCTCGAATACCGTTGAACAGCCCGTTGACTACTGCACTCCTTCAGCAAAAATATACATTTATTTGAAAGGAAACTTTTGTTGTCAGCGTGTCACCTTCTGAAGTGAGCCATAGGAGCTCCCTTCGTAAACGCTCTAAAATATTTTCAATGAAGTCTTTTACTTAAATTAAAGTGCGCTATACCGGAGTTACATCTTTCAATTATATTGAAACCTCGCAGCGGTGAAACCGAATATCCAACTTCTCGAAAAGATTACTTTGGCTAGCTTTCTTTCTAAAGTTTCAGTTTATGGAATGTTTTACAGACATTTTGGATAAGAAACTCTTTAGTGTTTACATCAACAGCGTCAATTGTTTTCAAGAGATGTAGCGCGATAAATGAAAAAGACATTGGTTGAAAAGTGATGAAAAAATTTTAGCATGGCTCGGCCGGAATTGGAAGTTGTTGGATAGTACTAAAATGGTTTTTGATTTAAAAATACTTTTCCGCGATTAAAAAGGAACTATAGAAGTTCAATTTTTAATTATTCAGCAGTCGGTAATTGGTTGGAAAATAAAGAACTCATGCCATTTCAAAATAATCATTTCAGTCACCGGATCATGTACTATGTGGTGCAGAAATTCGAAAACTTTTTCTCTCGTAAAGAATTAAATAATTTATTGATAATTAAAAACAGGTCTCTGACATTAGAGGAGCAAATAAATGAAAGAGAAATTTGGCTGTCTCGGATAAAGTTTAGAGCCTTTGACCTTCTCCATACCTGTAAGAACTCCCGGCTAGCTATTGACTAGCATGCGATCAAGCCCTCTTCATTGGTGCTAGGGCACTTAGGTTGTATTTGTACTTTATATGTCCTACATTCCAACAATTACAACCTATTCAATAATTACAAAAATGAGATGAGAAAAATGGAGGAGGGCATGATGGATCCATGATATAGCGAGCTAATTAGATGCCCTTTAATGTTAAATTACATTTTTTCATTTGGTAAAACAAAAGCCATATAAATATAAGAGCGTTCCTTCGCCTGCCAGAAGATTGCCAGGCCTTGAGTAAAAAGAGCTAACGAGAGGTCTGCAAGAGATCTGTCTGACCACTATCTAACCTCTCGCCAATTAGCCTAACTGAAGACCTCCATCGTTTTCACGGGTATAAAAGAGCGCGTACTAAGCGAGCCGTACCATCTATGATGAGTTAACACATCCCGATCTATAGCAATCATGAATCTAACAATGCTTGAATCACTCGCCTGAGATGCCATTTTTCATTTTCATTTTTCATTTTTGCAACAGCAACGAAGAGGACCAAGATGGTAAAAGTCCCGATTACCATAGCCGTAAGTTACACAGTAGCTAACTTCCTTCTTGAAACTGGTCGTGTGTCAGGAGCCATGGAGTTATACAAAGAATGTTTGATAGTACTACACAATCAGCGGCTGACTATGGATCGTTCAAACGTCAACAACATTTTGCGTGTTATATACAAAACAATGACAAACGCGTACAGAGCCATGAACGACCACGCAACTGAGGCAAAATACCTCAGGAGACTCCTACACCTTTATCAGGACTCTAATGAGAGTGTCGAAAAGGGAAGGATCCATTTTAGACTTGCAAATTCACTTCACGCTCAAAATAAGTTTGTGGAGGCCAGAACATTTTATGAGTTAGCAATCAGCATCATGGAAACGAATGGGGACAAACGAGGAGAGGCTGTGTGTTACGGAAACCTGGGGACACTACATCATTCCATAGGAGAATATGAAAACTGTTCAAGACATGTAAGTAAAGCACTTGCGCTTAGTATAAAAAATGGCTACAGAGATGGAGAAGCAGCAAGCTATGGAACCCTAGGAACATTGTTCCAATCACTTGGTAAATATGACAAGGCCCGAGAGTATGAGGAGAAAGCACTCACTATCAGAAAAGAAATCGGCGATAAACAAGGAGAAGCAGCAAGCTACGGAAACCTAGGAACATTGTTCCAATCACTTGGTAAATATGACAAGGCCCGAGAGTATCAGGAGAAAGCACTCACTATCACTTTNAGAAGCTTTAATTGAAGAACTTTGGCAAACACACACAATTCATGGCACTTTCGATTCTTTCACTGGATCATGCAGGTATAAAGTGATAAATGATGATATAGTTGTTACTGGAACAGATGGATGGGCTATCTTGCTCCGCTCGGGATTGCCCGCTTCATGATTCCGTGCAAGGAAAAAAGTGCTTGAGCGGACTTACAAAGTCTGTAACTTTTCAGTAATGTCAGCGATTAAGTCGCAAAAAGCAGCGGAAGACAGTCAGAACAAACATAAATGACCCTCGTGAGTCTATTGTGCTATAGACACAGTTGGCCTTCTCTCCCGGCTCTCAAATTGAGCAAGTTATTCTAGATTCTTATAAAGGCGAAATGTTTTTGCTATATAATAAATCCCTTATTGAAAAAGTTTGTTAAGTCAAGTTGGTTAGATACAAGCCTCGTTCAGGAGAATAGTTAGTTTATGGAATTATTT